AAGATACATTCACTCTTAATCCCACTCCGTACAACAATAACCATATTCAAAGGGTCAGCCTGGTGGTCAATAACTTCCTTAAGCTTTTTGCGTGGGCTCGAAAAACAGATGTGTACCTTTACTGGGGACTCTTGGCTCAGCGCTTATGCAAAGGGGGGAAAATTATCGAATCGAGTCTTGACGACTAAATGATTAGTGCTTTTTTGTGGGGCAGACAAGAAAACTGTCATGATTTCCTTTCAATCCAGTTCCAATTCTTTAGGCGTTAGAATGCGGGATGCACTAATTGCTTTCACACTGCAGGTAGATGAACGCAGTTTTCCCAAGGGAAAAAAATATTATTTTATCTTCTTCAGATGAAATGTATGCTACAACAATAAAATTTTGTTCTAAAAAGTGTTCCATTTTATGATTAAAATAGTTTTTTAAACTCGCACGTAGATTATGTACTAAAAAATAAGCGAAGCAATCGGAATTAAATATATTCACTTGTCATCGTATCAAAATTCAGTGAGTTAAAATATTCCAACATTTCCTGCAAATAATATATACATTCTCCTTTTAATAGCATTATTATTCTGATGTTGAAGAGCAAATTAAATAGAGTTTATTTACTACAAAGAAACTAAAAACTTTACTAAAAAGCATTTCCGGATTCCCAAATGAGTGTTATTACTTTTACACCTCTAGTAATATTCATTTCTGGAGAAATAGCAATTGGTCACTGCGTTTGTACTGTACTAAAAATTTACAATGCATGAGCCAAGAAATTTTTTATTTACTTTTCTTCCATGTGGCATTGCAAATAGCGATCCCAGAGTTGATCTGCCTTTACATAAGGCATATAAGATGTTTAATATTTTTTAACCGCTTCATAGTTTTTGGTTCAAGAAAGAAATGCAGATGCAAACCCTGGAGCTTCAGAAAATAAAATCCTTGTTGAGTTTTAATGTATTCAGTAACAAAAATTTAGTTTTATCACTTAGCTATATAAGATATTACTTTGTTGATAGATATTACTTTGTATGATAGTTGTTCGATAGTTTATATTGCTACACCATTTTTTCTTTGAATGCAAAACTGCATATACAGGAAGGCATTGATATTTCAGAAAGTAAAATTTTCCTTTGTCGAATAGCGAAATATTTGTTCAGTTTTTTATGATCTACATTTTCAGAATGCTAAAATCACCTTTGAAGTATCAAACTGCTATGTAAAATTTTCAGGTCTCAAGCTATTTACACTTGCTTTCTTTGGGAGTAATGAAGCTGGGAATGAAGATTCGTACTGAATTGATGAATATTAATGAAGATTCGCACTGAGGATTAAATTCAGGGAACTAAAAAGTGGTAGACATCAAATTCCTGTATACATGCTTAGTATTTCAGTATCTAAATTTGATTCCCTCCAAAACACAATTCTCATATAAAATTAATTACTTTCTGAACACTACTAGCTGTTAAGGCGCTGAATGCTGTTAGTTCGACGTCAGGCGATCGAGCTGGCCGCATGGTCGGTTTTCGTTGTTTTCCCCATGTGAAACGAGCAAATTTCCTCTAAAAGATCTCCGCGAAGGCATCTTTTTCTTTAGGTAGGCAGCCTTCGTGCGCTTTTCCATATTCAATTAACCTAAACGGTGTCTAATGTCTGAACCAATTGATATAGATATGACATAGATGCAAACATATAACAACGGATAAATTAAGTTTTGAAACTTTTTTTGAATTAGAAAATGTTCCATAGTAATTGCTTTAGTAAAAATTTGTATTTCATTTGTCGCACAATTAAAATTCATTTTGTCATCAAAATTATTCATCGGATTAAAGAAAGTGTTATCTACCTAAGCGAAAGGGGCTATTGTGGAGCGCCTTCAAAGGAAATTGGCTGATATACCCTAATTATATATGCGAGAACAAGAAAAGTTCATGCAGTCAATCCGTTCATCGGAATTTGAATCCAGGTTAAATTATCAGAGTTTAAGAATATTATCCGTTCGGCGCCTAGTTTTCATTTAGAACAAAAAACCAAAAAATTTCAGTAAGCAGCAGTAGTCGTGGAATGTATATCATTTAGAAATAAATTAAAATTAATTTCATCACCTGAAACATTTATATTTATTTACACTGCCTTAACATGCACATTAAAAAATGGAATAAAGTGGTAAAAACACTTATGAAAAGAATGAAACAAAGACAATTTCAAATTCGAATTGAAACCAAATTAAAAAGAATTTAATCAGAAATAACTGAAAAATTATGCATTTTTAACTACATTCAAGCTTTTAAAATAATTTTCGAAGAATTTTAGCAGACGAACTTAGGAAAATAAAATTTCTTTGATACTTGACCTCCAAGCCGTATTTGCGCAGGAGAAAAACCTGAAAACGCTAACGCGTGTGAATAGAAGTAACAAATTATTCTTTTTATTTTCTCCTCTCAACAAAATATTTCTGAGAAGATACCAAATTTTCCAACAACACATGTGAATTCAAAACACGGACAATTTTCCTCAATCCATTAGCAGAATCCCACAAAAGAACGCACTCTACGGGGTGTCACAAAATAGCCATCAAGCCTCAAGCGCTAGAATTCCTACCCCTGCCACCAATGACAAACTGTCCCGAGCCCCAATTTGTTGTATACTTACTTCGGGACACATATGTCCCAGCCCCCGGGAAAAGGTTAATACCCCTGCTCCGTACAACTTCACTTTCCTGACTACCCCAACAATCGCTGCGAACACCATCACTCCTTACAAACGAAAAAAGCCCCAGGGCACGATGGCATCTCGACCAAAGCACTGAAACCTCTCCGATAACGCTTTACCTGCCTAACTAAGATATCACAACATTATCAAATTCGCCATTTTTCCTAACTCATGGAGCAAGCTATAATAATTGTTTTTGCTAAACCGCAACAAAATACAATCTTCCCACAGAACTATCGCCCTATCAGCTTAGCTATCTGTTAAAGGTTACTAAGAAAATCCTACTTTTCCACATACAAAAATTCACCCTTCCATGAATTTTCCCCAGAAGAACAATTCGGTTTTCGTAATCATCTTAGCACTTGCCCCCAATCTTAGAGTTATCAAGCATTATCATGAAAGCTACAACTGCAAGCTTCCGACCGGTGCTATAATCCTCGATATCGCGAAAGCTTTTGACAGGGTATGGCATCGAGGCCTATTACAAACTAATCACTCTCAATTTTCCAAATCATTATTCGCTTAATAGCCTCTTTTCTCAGCAACAGAACATTGAGAATCAAAATCGGTACTGCCTACTCAACCACCAGAGTAATCAATGCTGGTGTCCCACAGGAGACGGCACTTTCGCTGTACCTTTTTAATATTTATACACAAGACATCCCTAAAGACCCTTCTGTTTATCTTGCACATACTTACTAAAGCCTACACAGTTATCGCCGTAAGAAACCAACTCCAAAACTATGTCATAAAACTACACTGGAAAAATGGCTCACCCTTTGGAGGATTAAAATTAACACTGATAAAACTAAGGCAATAATTTTCCGTAAAGGAAACATGAAATACTATCCTTCACCCCCTGAAATATTTGACGAAGAAATAGACTGGATTAATGAAACCAAATACCCTTGAGTCACCCTTGACCAAAAACTTACCTTCAGAACTCACTTCCGCTCCGTAGTACAAAAATTTTAAATCACCACAGCTACTATGCGACCTCTTCTTAGTAGAAAAAGCAATTTATCTACTACAAACAAATTAATTTTATATCGCTCCATACTTCGTCCAGCCCTCCTTCATGCAGCTCCGATCTGGGGTCTGGGGTCATGCAGCTAAAACCAATATTAAACAATTACAAATTCTGCCAAATAAAATTCTGCGAGAAATTATCAATGCTTCTTGGTATATTCCAAACATCTACATTCACAGAGACCTTCGAATCGAACTCATTCAAGAGTATATTAAACGATTAGCGGTCAACTTCTTTTATTCAGTACAAACCCACAGTAATAACCTTATTAGCACTCTCAAACACTCCCCGCATCCCAGTGAAAAACATCGGTACCCAAGTGACATCCTACCCACATATGAATTAAAACCTTAATTGACTCATTCACGCTAAACTGACTCTGCGGTTTACCATTCGCGGTTACATCTTATAACGATACTGAACTTGCCACTCCCCTTTTTTCGCCGCCGCTAGCGCGGAGACTCTCTTTTTCAGCCTCCCACATTTCCTTCCACCCTACTCTTTCTCCTCCCACCTGATTCTTATCAGAAGTTGAGTAAAAAGATGTTTCTACATCTTGACATTTGAGAATAAAATACAATCTGTGTGTGTGTACAAAATACAAATAATTATTAATAAAAGAAAAGAAGTAAACAGCTCAAGTGAAGCGAGAAAGATGGTGCAAAAAATACATACATCACAGCCGCTAATTAACCGGTAAACTAAATTGGCGCCAATTCTTGAGCTTGCGGAAAACTTTACGCGAAAATAACGCCAAATCCTCTGCCGAACTTTGTTGCCAACTGAGATATCAAAGGTACATATCCGGTGATGATGTAGAACACACTTCCGGGTTCCGATTTGCGGAATTCTATAAAACTCCATTGTGCTTGTGTGTTTTATCTATAGTATACATTGCATTTAGACATCCTTGTTTTTAATTTGTATTACTATATTATTTTATGTTTTGTATTACTATATCTATGCGCTCTGACGTTGCGGCAAGATGATTTCTTTCGCTCTCTGACAGGGCGGCTTGGAAAACGTTAATACTTTATTTGCATTTTACTTCTTTTACCCTTTTCGGAGCCATCTAAGACACAGTAGTTTTTAACATATTGGATCCTTTGTTTTGCGTTTTTCTAACACGCTTTTTCATACGGCCTTTACATTTTATATCAAATGCTAAGAGATATTTTATATTCTTTTTTTTCGCAGCCATACTCAATTTTTTACGTTGTGGCAGAAAGATGTAGCTAGCGCAAAATAGTACAAATGTCTGTCTGTCCCGTAATTAAATATACATTATACTCCGTGATTCGTGGTCAGAAGTTATATTATTTTTGTGTTCGGCTTTTAAAAAGTAGTTGTTTTTCGGACAGGACATTAAGTTAAACAATTTTTGTGTTTGACGGTAAAATAGTATTTTATATAACGACAGTTATTATTTAATATCATGGTTGACCACAATGCATATTTTATAATTTCTAAAATTATCCCTGTATATTCATTTTGTCAAATAAATGAGGAATATATCATGTCAATTGATTTCGTTTATCCAGAATGGTTGTTAATGGAGTATTTTCACAGAGATACGTCTATTCCTTCAGATTCTTGTTCTGTTAGACCTGAAATAGATGTTTGTGATAGTTTATACTCCATAGAACGTGCTTCAGACGACGCAAGAGCGTTGGGTGTTAATATATGTAGTTGTGTACAGACTGCTATATATGCGAATTATTCTCGGAAGGTAAAAATTAAGATTGATGAACTTGCTTTTTCTTTTATCATGTTTGAACTACGAAGATCGAAGACATTTCGTATGAGAATTCTTTCTAAGTTATTTATTCAGTTTAGTATGCGACAAAGAGAAACAATATCAAATCAGAAATTTAGATGCCAACTATGTAATAAAATAATGTGGCTAGTCTGTGTTATTGTTTTCATCACAGCAGCGAAGAAAAATATACTTGATTACAAGTGGTAAGTACGATATCAAACACTCACGTTTAATGATATAATTGTCACTTTCTAATAATATTTCAAGTTAAAAAAATATATGTACGTTAGTTTACATTTGTTTTTGAACTCTTGTATTTTTTTAATTTATTTTCATGGATCTTGCACTAAATATTGAAACACAGACTTCATTTCTTTTTTCCTAATATATTATTTTTTCTTTATTTTAAGTCTTGCTTGTTGAAAAATAAGTACCATGAAAATATACTTTGTAATCTAATAATTTGTTCAAAACGGGTTAATCAGTAACGTACATAATAATTAAGACATTCCAAACTTTTGTTGAAATGTTTGGTTAATCTTTGGATTATGGTAATTTGGCTACCAACCCTGCTACAGGAACCTGCTAGGTTTTGTTTGGACGCCATTTTGTTTTCACGAAGTAAAGGCATTTTTATGCTAGAACTTTTATGGAACAAAAGTGCTTAATCATGACAAAGATTAGGTGCGAAATTGGGAGAAAGTGCAGAATCGCAAACTGCTTGGCGTGTTTTTAAGAAATGCACATACACGTATCCATGTACACTTCGACCTATTTTCACTTAAAAAAACATCCCAGAATTGCACAAAAATGGCATTGTGCTCACTCTTGACTTTATCCATGTACACTGCTAAAGTCCTAGCTAGTAACCTTTATCGCCTTACCAAAATGTCGCCAAAATACCTGTTACCATATTCCAAAGATTAGCCACTTTGCTTACTGTAGATTTTGCAAATGCCAAATGTATGTTCTTTTTTTTTCTTGTTGATTATCCATTGTATCTATATGACCTAAAAGATTTAAGATTAATCTTTACTGAAACCATTCTTCTGAGTCTGTTGAATATTTTACAGTACTATTAATTTTTAATTTTTCATAGAATAAATCTATGATTCCTTAGCATTAGCCTGGAATGTGATCCAGACATCAGTACATTTTCAACAGTTCCATGCAACTTTCATCATTTCATTACATCAAAAATAATTAAAGGTTTTACATCAAGGAATTTTTGGATATTTCAAATACTTTTTCATCTTTAAAAAGAAGAATTATTATATTTCTAACAGAATTGTTCATTAATTTGTAACATCTTGCCATATAAATTTCAAATATAGAACTCTTAATACAGTTTGTTAAACGAGTAAAAATTTTCAAATGCAGACAATAATTCTTGTGATGCATTTTCATTTAACACAAAAAATTATTACAAAAAATATTGTCTATTGTCACAAAACATTTGGCTAATCTTTGGAATATGGTAAATGGTAGTTTGGCGACATTTTGGTAAGTCGATAAAGGTTACTAGCTAGGACTTTAGCAGTGTACATGGATAAAGTCGAGTGTGCACAATGCCATTTTTGTGCAATTCTGGGATGTTTTTTTAAGTGAAAATAGGTCGAAGTGTACATGGATACCGTGTATGTGCAATTCTTAAAAACGCGGCAAGCAATTTGCGATTCTGTACTTTCTCCCAATTTTGCAGTTAATATTCATCATGATTAAGCACTTTTGTTCCATAAAAGTTCTAGCATAAGCGTAATTCGGCTAGCAGATTGTTGGAAAAAAATGTTGAGTTAAAAAAAAAAAAAATGCCTTTACTTCATGAAAACAAAATGGCGTCCAAACAAAAACTAGCAGGTTGCTGTAGCAGGGTTGGTCGCCAAATTTTCGCCAAGTTACCATAATCCAAAGATTAACCAGCAAAGTTTTATCATATTTGAACAGTAAAGATATTTGTAAAAACGTCATCTTTATTATCAATCATTTTGATATATCTGGATCTGAAAGACGAATTAATATGTGGCAAAGTCTGAATTAAGTTTGGAAAACCTGTTACAGTCAAAAGTCGTTAATTTGAACACCTATAATCCGGAATGATCTATAATCCAGACCTCAAAGCTAAAAACTTCCTGTGCATGCACCGCATTGACACATGCGCATAGGGGTTTACACGTTCGCGTAAGACCTTTACGACTGCGCATGTGCGCAAGCGCAGAATACGTTTTCGCATGCGCGTTTAATGTTTAGCACACAGTATAAGCTAAAATTATCTAATTATCTATTTCAGTTAATGTTGATGATTGCGTTGTTTCTTAATTTTCGAATTGGATGCGGCTTATTATTTTTTGCAGACTGTAAGAGCAATTTTATAAAAGTAAACTTGAACTTTCGATTATGTCAAATAGAATTTCTGATGAATAGTCAACACTATGGTTATCTTCAGGGCAGATGTTTTTATTTTATTCGGCTTATAATTCCTTATTAAATGTAGTATTTCATCTCGATGTACTTCATCTTTGATATGATTTAAATCAAATTCCTCGTCATTATAAATATCACGAATACAAATAATCAAATAGTTTTCTGGTTGCAATTTTCTAATTTCGGCTATGCATAATGTATGCTTTACGCATGCGCTCCCAAAGGATCTACAAAACGAAAGTATGTTTCAATGTCCATCAAACAAAAAGTAGAATTGCTGCAAAAAATGGATAAAGACATGAAGAAGGTGACAGAGAGGTTAGTGAAAGCGAAAAAATTTCGATTGACAAGTTAGTCGGTATTCTCGGCACAGCAATTACGAGACTTGAACAGAGGAACTTTGTAACTGAACAAGAAATTATGTCTGTTTATAGAATTAAAGAGAAAGTATTATCACATAAAATGAAGCAACTTAAACAACTTACATTGAAAGAAGAAATGTTTAATAAAGTAAACAAATAAATATTAAGCTTTTTTTTTTTTTTTTTTTTTTGTAAATTTTTGATACCCTTTAGATCATAATTGTTCTTTATTTCATAAATTACAGTTTCATATTTTTAATTTTAGAATTTCTGCATGCCATCTTACGAGATTTAAACTGATGATCTATAATCCGGAAAAATCGATAATCTGTAATTGCCGAAGTCCCGACGAATCCAGACGAGTTCGGATTAATGACTTTAGACTGTACCTAATATTACACATGGGGGTAAAAGCATAATGGTTTGGGGGTGTTTCGCTGCCTTTAGGGGGGAAAAATCAATGTTTATAAAAAATAATAGAGGTTAATATATAAATATTCTTAATGCCTGAAAACATCTGCAAAACAACTTGAAATACAAAATACAATATATTATATAGTTTAGGATAGTTTATGAAGATAACTATCCTAAACTATAATCCTAAAATATTTATGTGTGGTTATTATACGACTGTCTTGAAGCTAAAACTTCTCCACATTATCTGGATTTAAATCCTATGGAACAAAATTGAAGTAAGTTGCAGGAAAAAATTAGAAAACAATGTTTCTTAGGAAACTCGACTTAAAGCAATTCTTATATAATAGTGGAACATTCTTACATAGAATATTTAGTTGAATCCAGGCCAGAGCCCATGAAAAATATAATTTTAGTTAAAGGACATCCAAAAAAATATTGAATGTTCCATTATTTTGTGTTTTTTATTAAATATAAACTCTTATTCAAAATGTCTGAATACTTGTTCAGTCAAAAGTCGTTAATTCGGACACCCATAATCCGGAATGATCTATAATTCGGACCTCAAAGCTAAACGCATTTGATGCATGCGCATAGGCGTTTAAGCGTGCGTGTAAGACCTTTACGACTGCGCATTTGCGTGTGCACAAGCGCAGAATACGTTTTCGCTGCGCGTTTAATGTATAACGGACGGTATAAGCTAAAATTATTTAATTGTCTATTTCAGTTAATGTTGATGATTGCATTGTTCCTTAATCTTCGAATTGGATCCATCTTATTATTTTTTGCAGACTGTAAGAGCAATTTTATAAAAGTAAGTTTGAACTTTCGATTATGTCAAATAGAATTTCCGATGTTGGAGCTCCCAAAGGATCTATGAAAACGAAAGTATGTTTCGATGTCCATCGAACAAAAAATGGATAAAGGCATATCCTTTGTTTATCTAACCGTACGGAAATCTGTTTATCAATTTCACGCTGCTCTGCGCGAGGGGGGGGACGTGGCGGCGCGCAATGAACTGGAAGTTGATCTGTCAACACTATGGTTATCTTCAGGGCAGATGTTTTTATTTTATTCGGCTTATAATTCCTTATTGAATGTAGTATTTCATCTCGATGTACTTCGTCTTTGATATGATTTAAATCAAATTCCTCGTCATTATAAATATCACGAATACAAATCAAATAGTTTTCTGGTTGCAATTTTCTAATTTCGGCTATGCATAATGTATGCTTTACGCATGCGCGCGTTGAAAGAAATGTTTAATAAAGTAAACAAATAAAAATTAAGCTTTTTTTTTTTTTTGTAAATTTTGATACCTTTTAGATCATAATTGCTCATTATTTTATAAATTACGGTTTTTTTTTTTAATTTAATAATTTCTGCATGCCATCTTACCAGATTTAAACTGATGATCTATAATCCGGAAAAATCGATAATCCGGAATCACCGAAGTCCCGACGAGTCCGCATTAAAGACTTTTGACTGTATGAGTTCATTTTGAAAACTTTTTCAATAAATTATTATTTTTACGAAAAACATTTTGAATATTTTTTTCAAAACAAGTAGGTTTTAAAACAGTTTATTAATAGTATATATGAAAAGAAATGATGACTAAATTTCACTAATATACAGGGTGTTTATAAAGTACCGGACCCATTTTTATTTTTAATAACTCTTAAAATAATAAAGATGGATTAAAATTAATAACATAAATGGTTAGATAGACTCAAAAGGTTTCATGACCCTTGTCAATGAACTTCCACGTGTGCACCCTTCGTCGCACGGAGAATATCAAGTCGATATTCAATTTCACACCAGGTACCGGCAAGCATGTCGGCAGAGGCTATTGCAGTTGTAATTCTGGCTTTTAAGTCATCAATGCTCGACACTCTCCTCCTGTAAACGTTGTCCTTTAAAAATCCCGAAAGGAAAAAGTCCATAACATTACAATAGTCGCCAAAAACAAAAGAGAAAAAGTTTGATCTTCACATTATGGTAACTTG